GGTAAGATGGCCTACGGCCACCAAATGTAGCCTACGGACATTGAGAGATGGTCTACGGGACCTCTCCCTCCCCTCAGGAAAAGAAACAGAGAAAATCGAGCCTGGTTCGCAAACCGAGACAAGGTACAGAAGAGGGTTCGGAAGTCCGGAGGTAGGGCTCGCAGCCAAGACTCTGAAACTTCTGAACGAGCACGATATGCAACGTCACCGAGCGCTCAATCGGTGATGTCTGAGTCTTAAGGTTGGTCAAAAATGGGGTGTCTACACCGCCCAAACAAAACAACAACACAGCTCAGAGACATTCACTCTCACTCTCTCACTCTCTCACTTTCACTCAGCCTTACAGTCGATCGTGGTCGTCTACCGAACCTACCCTCACCGGCGAACCGGCGAACCGGCGGCCCCACGACGACCACAGCTCCACCGCTTCAGCCTCTACGCTTCGTGAACTCCACTGCGACGACCACTATCAGTTGAGCATAGATCACGAACCAGGTTGGTCTTCAAACGTCTGAAATTAAGAAGTTAGGAGTCTGAAAAAATGTAGGGCTTTTAGAGTTGGAATTTCTGAAAAAATTTAGGGCTTTTGAGATTTGGAATTTCAAAATTAGGGCTTTAATTTGGGATTTTGAAACGTCTGAAAAAATTTAGGGCTTTTAGATTTGGAATTTCAAAATTAGGGCTTTCATTTGGGATTCCAACGGCTACAAATTTAGGGCTTTGATTTGGGTTTCCTCTTCTTCTTCTTCTTTTTTCCATCTCTGTTCATATGTTAGTACTTCTGTAATTTACTGCCGTAAATTGCCTAAATACAAGCCATTAAGATGGCATTAACATTAATATCAGTAGCTGTAGCTGTAGGATAAATAAATTTTAATGGCTTCTGTTAATAAATCAATTTTAACAGGTGTGTGTGCCCCATAAAAAACTTTTTAATGGCTTGAATTCAACTGCAATAAAACATAATCAATGTCAGTAAGTGTAGTTATACAGAAACCAAATGTTGGCTAACACTTCTTAAAGGTAGGAATCATGGATAACATGGATAAGTTAATCCGGAAGGACCGCGAGCCCCCTGTGAAGTAAGTTTCTTGCTATTGTTTTGCAATTGGGATTTGATTTTTCTTGACATAAGATGGACGGTTCTCATTTTGTATGTGGTTTTTTTTTTTTCGCCTTTTATTGTATTTGAACCAATCATTTGAGAATATTGATAGCTAGTTGTAATACTCTTATACAGAGCATGAATTGAGTGTATATTTCTGGAAATATACTCGAGGGGAATTTACTTATCAATATGTACGCATGTACTCAAGGGAAATTTCTAGCAAAAGCTTTATGATGTATGATTGGAACTTCTTAGATGGTGTATTGTATGCATATATGATAGTTGTGAACCTTAATATTTTATTTTTGTATTCTTGCCAATAAAAAAGAGGCTTAAACTTCATAACTTTGAAACATGCATAGCATTTGGAGGTTCCAATGCTTAGTCCATATTCCACGTGCTTCCTTTTTGTTTGTATACAATGAGCATCTCTCTCGAGCGCCTGGTAACATATGGTTTGTTTGAGATGAGATAATTAGAGGAGGTGGAGTTGGTAGTTTCGTTGCGCTAATATTGGTATAGGAGAGGAGATCAATTACAATATGGATATTCGGAGGGTTTCAAGAAAAAGAAGAACAACAATAAATAGTAATCACAATCACTTTGAAGTCATTAGGCATCAGACATACGATTATGATTGCATATCTTCCGACTGTTAACCATGAGTACTTCATTAAGGAGTCTACCCTTGTAGAAAATATTCTCTACCTTCTTCTTAACTGAACACCTTAGGATAGTGTTACGCCCAGAATTGTAGGCATTGTTTTCCTGAATTCAGTGCAACTAACACTTTGAGACCTAATCAATTTGTATGTAGACTACAAGTGCTGAATAACAGATAGGAATAGGTTTTTATGAGCCCACTACAATGTTGGTTTCAAAACTAAATTGGTTTCTCGAGGGCTGACTGTTTGTGTTGTATTGTCTATGTAGATTTAGAAATGGCTTCTTCTTTCTATGACAACAGCAACATAAGATTAAACCGAGAATGTGCAATTGTGGAAGAACAGCTGCCATACATATCGTAAAAACTAATGAGAATGGAAATAAAGGGCGGTTGTTCTTTGTTTGCCCATCAAAATATGTAAGTATTGTATTGGAAATATTAAATATGTAAGTAGTCACAATTTAATTTGTTTTAATAGACTAACTAATTGTTGGTTGCATTGTAGACTGAAAATCCCAATTGCAATTACTTCAAGTTCGTGGCTGAAGATGACGAAGATGTGACTTCCACAATCCGTTCCAACACTAGAGCTTCTGATGGTGTTACAGTAGAAGACTTTAACGAGCTGAGGAGGAGGCTGTATGACGTGGAAAATGAACATGGCGACTATGGTCGAAGGCTTCGAATGGTGGAAAATATTTTGAAGGCGATGGTGTATTTGATTGTATTTGCTTTACTTTTGTACTTTATGATGTAATGTTATTATGGATTTATGGATTTAATGTTATTATGGATTTATGGATGTAATCTACTTTATGATGTAATGTTAGTATCCGAAAAATTTGACTAATGTTATTATGGATTTATGATGTTTGTACTTTATGATGTTTTTATGAATGGAATTTGGGAAGTTGGGAATGATTTGAGATGGTTTTTAGATGGTTTATTGTCCTCTACTTTATGAATTCCAAATTTTTTATACTTACATTTATGAACTTGGGAATGATTCCCAATATTGTTCTCTAGTTTATGAATTCCAAATGTTTATTAATTAAAACATTCTGCTAGTTTTTAGCTGGTTCATTGTCCTCTACTTTGTACTCAGATTTCTTATTATATGTCCTAGTGGATTTAATGAACTTGGGAATGAGTTGGATTTTATGAACTTGGGAATGTTTTAATTTAGAGGACAATCTGTGAGATGGTTTTTACAAAAGTTATGGTTTATTGCCCTGTAGGCTTAAAATGCATGTATGTTGGTTGTGGTTCATGTTCATTTAACTTAGTAATAGAACATAGAATTCATTTACCAGCAGAAACTGTTTACCAGCTTCTAGTTTATGAATTTAGTACATGCATACCAACAGAATGCATTTACCAGCTTCTGCTATGAATTTACTAGATGAACCAGCATACCAAATGCATACCAGCAGAATTCATTTACCAGCATATGAACCAGCAGAATTCACCAGATATGAACCAGCATACCAGATGAACCAAGATATGAACCAGCAGAGCATACCAGCAGAACGAATTTAGAAAAACCATATCAAATGTACAAAAACCAGCATACCTAGTGAATTCTGCTACTGTTTATTTTGCATAGGCACATTTACTACTGTGGTGTGGTGTGGTCCATCTACTACTGTTTATTTTGCATAGGCACATTTATTTTGCATAGGCACATTTGCATAGTCCATCTACTACTGTTTATTTTGCATAGGCACATTTCACATCAGATAGCCTTGTCTGTGGTGTGGTGCATATTCTTGTCTTTTGTATTTTGATTTATCTCAAGATTAGGAAGTCTAATGTAGCTAGCCAAAGAGTGGCCATATATCATTTTGACAGTAGTTAAATGATATCAGATTCTTGCTTTTGATAGAGAGGTTGCTTTATGACTGTTCTTTTGACAATATCATCATCCCTTCTTCTTCTTTTTTAAATTTCTAATAATGTTTTGTTCTAAGAAGGCCATGTTGGGAGCTTGAGTATAACTTTTTAGTTTCAGATGGGTAGTTGCTTTGTAACTTTTCAGTGTTCAAACCAGCATACCAGAACCAACATACAGTGTTCAAAACAGAATCTGCATAACAGTGTTAAAAAAAAAAACCAGAATCTACAGTGTTCAAAATAGAATCTGCATTTGAAAACAGAATCTGCATAACAGTGTTCAAGGGTCCTGAAACTGCAATTCAAAACTGTTAACCATTTGTTAATAACCATTTCAGAATCTGCATAACAGTGTTCAAGGGTCCTAAATGAACATCAACCAACATCAACCAAGTTAAATTAACATGTTCAATACAGCATGTTCAATACCAGTTTCCTGAATCTGAACATGAACATCAAGCAACCAACACATAAATTAAAAAAAAACATTAACAATAACAGAATCAGTACAACTTTAACATCAACCAACATCAACCAAGCTAAATGAACATTAACAATAACCAGTTCACTTGGGTTTAACATATAAATTAAAATCAACTGTAAATGAACATCAACCAGTACAACTTTAACATCTAAATTAATTCATTGGTGCTTAAAAATTGACACATTAGTACTTTAACATCACTTTCCAGCAGCAATTTGCTTCACAATTTCAGAGGCCATGACTTCACGTTGCAGTCCAATTTCAGCATCAGTTTGGTTCTGTTGATGGTTGTCCATAGCCTAAAAAAAAAAGACAGAATTTTTAAGCAACTATAAATACATGGTATCACAGAATTTTCAGCAACTATAAACTAAAAATACATCAAGGACGAACCTGACTACACATTGGAGTAGTTGATTCTTGAGAATATCAAAACCCAATGTCATATCCATATGAACCTTGTAGTAGTGACTGGAATGTTGGTTGAGCAGAATGTCATTGAGCCATTGAAGTTGGCAAATAATTTGGCACCACATACATCTCCCGCAAATTGTTCGCCTACAACAATGTCATATATGCTTTCAGTTATGGTTTGAGTCACATATTATATCCACACAAAAAATACAATGTTAAAGAAAGGCTTACATGATATGTGGGATACATCAATGGCGGAGGAATGTAATTACCACCCATGGGCAAAGATCGAGGAAGAGGATGAAGGGGTGGAAGAGGTTGAAACGGAGGAACATGTTCACGAACATATATATCTCCTCCAACAGATAATGGAGAAGGTGCAACCGTTGAACTTGCAATAGATTGTGACGAAGCCAAGCTGTTAGCATGGGATTTTTTTTTGGAGTTCGCTAGCAACGCCGCTTCGAATCCACCTTTGACCCTCCTTTTGCCCTTACTAGTTGCCACCTTTTTCTTCAATCCTTTTGGTTGCACAACATGATTCACATCTTCGCATTCCACTTCAAAGCTTTGGGTATCATCATCATTACGTGCTTCATTTCCAACACCAAAATGAGCACTTAACTTGCCTTCAACATCTGCACCTAATGTAGCAAGGTGTGCAATACAAAAATCATAAGTTTCTTCAGTTTCAGCAGCTCTACTTGCTACTGCTCTAAACGCGGTCATCAATGTCTTATACCGCGAGGCTTGTTGGAATTTCACATCTACTTCAATGTCATTTTCCTTAATGTGCTGCACAGTTTCGGCTCTTGCTTGTTTGGTCCACCTCTTCAGAATGTATTGTGGAGGAACCTCTTTCATCTTCAATATGTCTCTAATAACCTTCAATGAGTGACAATGTGAGAGTGAAAGTGAATCCCTCTCTTCGCCGTGTTGTTGTTTTGTTTGGGTAGGAACTGAAAAAAATTCATTTTTGATTTTATTTTATTATTATAATCTCAGCCGTTGGATGACCAACGGCTCATCTGAGCCGTTGCAAGCACGGAATGAAGGACCCTCCTCAAGGAGAGGATCCGAACTCCTAATCAGAGTGCTTTAATTTATATAGGTTTGTCCTTTCAAGATTTTTTTGAGAATTTAAATTCTATTTTTCCAAGATTTCTTTAACTTGGTCTACATTTTCAAGTTTCAATCTTTACTTTTCAGCTCCATGTATGTTTCTTTCTCTACCTTTTATCCTTCTTATTTGTTTCGACTCTCCTTATTCTTTTCCTGTTCTTCTTTTGATTCAATTTTTTACTTCTTATTTTTTGTTGTTATTTCTATTCTCTTTTCAACTAAATATTTGTTTTCAATTTCTTCTTCCTCTTCTCCATTTCTATTTTAAAACTTCTTCTATTTTCAATTCTTTATCTTTTACTTATTTTTCTATTTTAGTTCTCTCTTCTTCTTCTTCTTTTTAATACTTTTTTAATTTATTTTTGTTTCATGATCGTACAGCGAATGGAGATCGTGTTTGTCATAAGAGAAATCACATTATCATCGAGCATTGTTTTTTAGTTTATTTTTTTTACTAAATGTGATATACTTAGTTACAAGAATTAAACAATCAATTTAAGAAGAATGTGGTAGAATTATTTGTTCTTAGTTCTGCTTTAGATCTTAGAGATGGTTATAAATTTTCTCCAAATGCCTTAAAAAAAATTCATTGAAATTCCAATTACAAAAATGAGATTGATATTTTTAAACATCCTGAGTTGTAAAAGTTGTTAACAATTTTTGAGTTGTACGTGAAAACATGAAAATTGATAATTTATTCGTCTTATTTCAACTTTACTTAATTCTACGACAACAAAACACACATTTTTTACAATAAAAATTATCAAAGCTGAATTGCACAATAGTGAATTTTTTTGTTGTTGTTGCATATACGTTCCCTCTATAGCTTCAGTTTGACAACTAAGGTGTACGGCACACATTTGAGCGTACCATAAAAATTTTCTAATGAAAAAAAAAAAGTGCAGAAATACTAGCCATGACACATAACATTACTCAAATATCATTCCCTGTTTTGGCTTCCAATCACAGTCATTCTCAGGTTCCATATCGATATCAAAATGCAACTGAAAACCCATATAAATAAAATCTTAAGTTAATGATAGTTGAGCTTCTTAATAAGATTGCAGGGTTGCTTAGGTTGTAGTGCTATGAAAATGAATTGAAATTGGTTTATAGATGAAATTTATCTGGTTTATAGATAGGACCATATGTCATATAAGGAAAATTACTGGAATTAAGGAAATTGAATTATTAAAAACCAGATAAAATTATATAGATACATATTGCTTCATTCAATTATTCATGAGATTCAATATAACACATCTAGACACCAGTTAATAATTACATAACCCATGACACTGCCATGTCTACAAAAACCAGGAGACATACTGTGATAAGGCCCATAACATTACCCTGTTATGGCAAAACTGAGATAATTTACGAGCCTTTTAACAAAACATCACAATAACAATCAGATGAGCAACAAACAGGGTGCCAGTTCTGGATGATCATGTCACAATAAATACATAATTTTGATTGACTTGCTATAGTGAGAATAATGCATTTTCCTGTAAATTTTGAGGCCAAAAAAATTTAAGCACGAAATTAAGGTTGCAAAAGCTAAATCAAAATTTAGGTCAACTAACAAAATAGGAAAATACCTATCTCCCAAAACTCATATCCAAACATAAAGATATCAGATTCATATAAATTGTCTATCAGAGGTTCACAAAGAACAAATATTTTTATTTATTTTTTAAATGCATACATCAACATAGAATTAATCGAAATTGAATGCTCACACAATGGTGATTTCTACATCAAAATCCAACCCAATATTTGCATAATTTGAAGACGATCAATCAAAAACAAACAAACTAAAGTGAAATTAAAGGATGATAATGACAGATCTTCAATTAAAATCCCACAAAACAAGCTCAATAAAATTCGAAAACAAAAAAATTGAATCTCGACAGGGAGGCTCATGAAATCATCGGAAGGGTTGGATTGCATCTCCTTGACCTCCTGGAGAATCCTTTTCACCTCAGGGTTCTTAAGATGGAAAGAGGGCAAACCGATGGGTTCGATTTGAGGAGTGTTGTAGAGAGGGTCTGCCGCTGCTGAACGGTTCGGTGAGGTTGTATCGACAGTAGGTCGCCGTCGGTGAGGATGGGTTCGACGGAGGAGAGTGCTGTGTGAGAAAATAGAGTGAATGTCTCTGAGCTGTGTTGTTGTTTTGTTTGGGCGGGAACTCGAAAAAATTTAATTTTTTTTTTTTTTTAATAATCTCAGCCATTGGATGACCAGCGGCTCATCTAAGCCGTTGCATGCAGGAAATGAAGGACCCTCCTCAAGGAGAGGATCCGGACTCTGGTATGATAACTTCTGCTTGCTGCTAAGCGTGTTGTTGCTCCCAAGTCAGAGTAGTACGTTGGTCTATTCCTAGTTGCTTGAGCAGTGTGCTGATAGCCTGTGTTGAAGCTTGCGCGTTTGGGACGTTGAAACAGTGCCCACGGTTCTTTGTGGGCTTGGGCTGAAATTTCAAGTTTTTGGGACATAGTTTTGTGGGTTTTCACCAGGTGGGCCCACTGTTGACTAGCTTGGTGGATTGATTTTTTGGCCAGGCATGGGCAAATTTGTTGGGGTTTAATGGTTTTGGGCCTTTTTTGGGATCAATTTTGAGTACTGCTAGTTTGGTGTGGTTGGGTTATTTTGTGAGTATGCTTCATTTTGTATAGAGTGTTTGGGTCTCAATTGTTGTTGGTGAGCCCATTTATTTTTTGTTTAGCCTCTTTGCAGCGCACCATTTATAGTTGATTTTCTCATGACGTTTGATTGTGTGATCCTCATGTGACTTGATATGAGGTTAGTTTCGAGCCATCTCCGCCAAGAGTGATTGAGGAGTCACTGCTATGGAGAATAGTGGTTCGATGACTAGCCGAGTGAGAGACTAGGAGATGAACGGGAGGTTAGCTACTGGTTTTCTGGTTGCTTCTTGTCTTCATGTGACCCATCCTAATTGATTGTATTGCCACGCCTGATATGGAGTGAAGGGCACACTGCCGTGGGGTTTGAGGCTAGTGATCTACCAAGGAAGGGACTGGGGGATGTGATGATTGCTCTCATGCTATTTTTGGCTATGTATTGGTTTGTTGCTGTGGGGCTATCATTTTTCGCTACAACTCCCAAGACCGTTGCTTATGGTTTCTGATCGTGCTAGCTTCATGTGACTCTTTCAGGATTTCTCGTGGGGTAGATTTTTACTTTGGTTAGTGGCTAGGATGTCACGGCACTGAGGAGTGGGATGCTTATTGAATTTCATGTGTTTATCTACGGTAGAGATTGGGTGCCAGTGGGGTTGGTTATCATTTTTGACTTGGTTTGAGGGTTGTTGCTTTGTGAGTATGCCAGGTGTGTTTTATTATGTGTTGTGGTGTCTATTTGTATCTTTGCCCATATGTCCACCCCAAGTTTTCGTCTCTAATCTCTGATGGTAGGGGTTACATGGGGAGAAAAAGGATATATGGGCAAAGTTGGGTTATTTTGTTTTTTAGTTGTTCTTGTATTTACTCCCCTTTTTCTTAAGGGGTGTGTAGTGGTAGCTTTGTTGGTTTTGTAATCGTTTTTTTATTTGTTGTTGGGCGTGTCTGGGGTATGCCCCTTGTAAATATGTAAATTTCATTGACTTTATTTTATGACTTACTCACCTTAAAAAAAAAAAGGGGAAAATATTTTTGGAAATTGTGGCTTTCATTGGCTTATTTTGGGCCAACTTTGAGCCTAAATTTGAGTGGGGCCACACGTCTTTTGGGGTGGGTCCAAAGTGGTGACATGGCTTATTTTGGGCCAACTTTGAGCCTAAATTTGAGTGGGGCCACACGTCTTTTGGGGTGGGTCCAAAGTGGTGACATGTTCTGTACTGCATGACAAGTCACACGGTGAAGACGATTCGTTAAAACCATTTATGAGTGAATGAGAAGTTGACGTCGTTTTCGGGTTCGTGAAATAGGAAGTTGAACAGTTAAATGTGAATTTCTTTAAATTGGTTGTTCCACATTGAGACTTTAAGAGAGCTAGTGTGAGTATATTGGCTCTAGGGAGACATACTTGGTTGGACCCCAAGGGGCACCCCAAGTTTTGTAAGGAGGGGAGTTATGGACAAAGTGGGCTTGACCGAAAACCATCACACACGCACTGTCGCTGTGCCTGGGTCGGGTCAGGTCCTAACTTTAATTTTTCAACAAAATTTGGTTGAATTTTTTTCTGGAAAATTTGAAATCCTAACAGAAAAATTCAAACATTTGTGCCAATTTCAAAATTTAAACCCGAACAGTGGCATCCCTTCCTTCTCCGGCCAACTCTCTTCACTCCGGTGCTTTCAGGTTTGCACTTATTCGGAGCGCTTCCAAACCCATCCGAATAGTCGCCATCTTGCCTATCAATTCAGACCTTCTCCAACCAATTCATTCATTCGCTCCTAATGCATGAGAAATGGTAAGTAAACACCAGAATTACATATTTGCCATCATGCAAGAGGGTCTGAATAAGTGTCCGAGTGTTCGAACCCTAATGCAGGAGAAATGCTAAATAAACATGATAATTACATATTTACCACCATGCAAGAGGGTCCGAATAAGTGTCCGAGTTTTTTAACCCAAATACTTGAGAAATTGTAAGTAAACACCATAATTGCATATTTGTCGTCATATAAGAGGGTCCGAATAAGTGTCCGAGTCTTTGAACCCTAATGCATGAGAAATGGTAAGTAAACACCATAATTGCATATTTGCATCACGCAGGAC